GTTAAAAAAGTTTCAATGAATAAATAAATTTCAAATTACTAATATGCTGAATTTTAAAAAAAATGAAGCATTTCTCAACCTCCTTGCTAAAATCAAATTTAAGTCATTAATCATACACTACATCAATTACAACAGTTCCTGTACTATGGAGTACTACTTGCATTGCTTATGACACCATTCTGATGGCCAGAAGTGTATTTTGCCACAAAGTCTAACTCCCTCACTATGGCCACGCTCCATAATAAAAGTGGCATCAACCACAAATAAGGACTTTGAGGAAAGTTTATTGGTGCATATTTCAAAAACTGTATAAATGATCTCAGAGGAAATATGTAATTTTTAAAAACACATTCTCTCATATGACAAATACTTGGTTTGACAAGTGCACTCACTTCATACAATGTTGGAACCTATTTGGAACAAAAAGGCACAATTCTGCTTCAGAGACAGAGAAACAGAGACAGAAGGAAAAGGAAATTATTCTAAGAAGCTGTAAATATTACTTTAGCAGCTAACATGTTGGGCTTACTTAATTTTTTTCAAAAATTATTTGCCATTGTCTATAACTCATATTACTTCATGTTACTCATTATTCGCAATGTGCTACAAATCTGTTCTTTAAAAAACACTGAAACATTTAACAGTACAAGAAATGACATTTTAGAAATTTTCAAAATTAAGAACAATATTAAGTATTTTGAAGTAACAAGGAAACATTACTCATTACTCAAGTTTCCACATGAATATAATTACTATTAGAATAACTGTTGCCTTCCCCTGCTCATAAAAGCAATGCTCCTTTTTTAACACATAGTCAATTCCAGAGGTTCCAGCTTAGTGTGCCCTTCAAAGAATGTTCTGTCAGACAGTAAACCAATTTAAGGATCTCACCCTCCTGCAACAGAATTCCAGTCCACAAACCTACACCTTCAGATAATCCCCACTTCAGAGGCTGCAATTCTTCCAGGAAGGAAGCTGCCATAATGCTTCCTGCATGTTCCTTGTATAAAATTAGCAGGCTGTGCCACTGGACATGTTTAGAATTACTGCATTTTTCCATGTATGAGACACTACTTTTCCCCAAAATCATTACACTAAAAATTGAGGGGCATTTTTTACACAGAAGTAAGCTGAGAACACGAAGAGGACAAAACAGCCCGCACCTTGCCTCTGTCAACAGGCTTCCTTTAATCATGCCGCTTAGCTGTCTCCAAACAGGAGGCTTAGCTTCCTCCAATCATGAGCCCTATGGAACCGATGTCAGCTGCTGCTGAACTGGAACACACCTCGTTGGAGGTGGAGCCTGTAGGTTCAGATTCAACAGGGACGCCTAATGTCCGAGCATTCTGAGCCCAGAGGCTGAATACTCAAAGCTAGTTTTTGTTTTTGTTTTTACATTTTTGGGTTAGTGTGGGAGGGATGTCTTATAAACGGTGGGATGTCTTATAAACGGAAAAGTGTGGGAGGGATGTCTTATAAACATTGCTTATCTACATTAATCCACAGCGCTGCTTCCATTGCCTACACGCAGGGTCCTTTTTGCCTTTCAACAGGAAAGAAACTGCCTGGGTGGTGTTCAGAAGTAGCAAGGCTCAATGGGACTTGCAAAGATTTATGGAAGAGCTAGTTCTGCAAAAGATTCTCTCTCTCTCTCTCCAGATTCTATTGGACCACCTGTTCCATAAACCCCTGCATCTCCCTTGGAGAGTTGCTTCTCCTAGGCATCATCAGTCAGTTTTCTTTTTTCCTGAAAGATGAATAATGGTGACCAAGGCCCATGGGCAGGTAATGCTTTGTGAGTTTTTATATTTTTTTTGTTATTTCTCCCAGAATTTCACCTGGGAGAATTCTACCTATTGGAATTTTGGGTATTTTTTTTAATGACCTGCAGTACAAAAAAATTCAAAAGTTCCAACTCTGATAGCTATGGTATGGTAGACAGATTTGCATTTTGAAAACATGATTATATAAATAAACTGTAAGGAAAATCAGTTTATTTATACATTTCATTTACAAATATTAAGAGAAATAAGACTTTCTGTCCACCACCAATTTTTTCTCTCTCAGCCAGAAGGGATGTGGAGGCTATGGAAACAATTTCAGATAGGGAATGCATGAATATTGTCCTTACCTTTATGAAAATGGCCTTGCTTATCTACATTATGAAGCAAAAATTTGCTCAGCCAGATTTTGATAAAATGCCTTTAATAGTTATCTAAACAATTTCTACAGACATGAAGACTTGACTATCACATTTGAAGGACAAGCAAGAGAGGATGACACTGCCATTTTCAGGTTTGAGAGAACTCTAAGTAAAGTAACATTTGGTGTGTGCTGGTGAGATGGCATGGCTCTGAGCAGTGCTGCCTAGTTCTATCAAGTGACATTACCATCCCATAATATTTCAGAGCAACTCTAGGAGCTTTCATTGTGGGAAATTAAGGAGGTAGCTAGATGTACCCAACTGGCACTGCTCAGCAAGGTGAAGAAGTAAAGTGAGTTTAGGGAAAGTATGAACCCTGGGCCCTACCAGGACCCTGGATACCATCTGAGAATGTGAGATGCTTGCATTCTGGGATTGCCATAATCATCCTGCTTTGCATACTTTACTGCTCAAAGAAACCATTCAGTGTATTTTCAAAGCTTTCAGGGCCGGGATCTGATGGTTGTTGTGGGTTTTTCGGGCTCTTTGGCCGTGTTCTAGAGGTTGTTCTTCCTAAAAATTCGCCATTCTCTGTCTCTGAGCACAGACAGAGTTCCGACTCCTGTCCTCTGAAGGTGCCAGCTACAGTGACTGGAGAAACGTTAGGAAGAACAACCTTCAGAACATGGCCAAAAAGCCCGAAAAACCCACAACAACCATCAAACCATTCAGTCTTGGAAAGATGGGTATGAACTCATTATTTTATTTATTTATTTATTTATTTGATTTATACCCCGCCTATCTGGTCTACTCGACCACTCTAGGCGGCTTCCAGTAGAGGATAAAACAATAAAACACAAGAACATTACTAGTAAAAGAACCCTACGACTTCCCAGAATTCATATTCAGCTCTGCCTCCTATCTCAAACCACTGAAAAAGAATCAAAAGCATTCTCTCAGATGCCAAAGAGCAGAGTGGCTTTCCCAAACAAATCTGTGCAGCTAGAATTTCTTGGTGCCATGATAGTACATGCGACAATTTATTCCTTCCTTTAAACTTTTTTTCAGCAAGCTGCTGAAAGTCAAAGAGCCTTGAGCATCAATGTTACACATGCTTAATTAGATGCACAAATGCTCCAACATAGGAACAGAAAGGGGGAAAAAACCCACAATCCTACAAGATGATTTCTTAGTTTGTGTCCCATCACCACATTTCTCTGTATGTCTCATTAAAAGATACTTTCTTTTAAAAAAAGAAGTTCAGTGGATCAGGACTTTTTCTTTTCTTTCTTTCTTTCTTGTATATACCATCCAAGAAGACCACCCACATTATAATATATTTTAAAAGATACACTTAAAGTATAAGACAACTTTCCTGTGCCAAGAATTTAACTGCAAGCAATACCTATGTTTATTCCAGACTGGTTCCGTTGGCAGAAATATGTGTGCTCCTTCTTAAAGAGGGCGCCTCCACCCTTTATGAGAGGATGTCAGAACCGGCATCTGGTGAGATATAAGGGGCTACCACCAGACCTATTGTCCTCAAACTTCACATATGAAAATACATGATTTTATATAGTGGAAGTGGGTGGTTGCCTGGGTAAGGGCATGTACTGCATTATTAAAATATGAAGAAGCGGTATAGCAAGGTGAATAGAGTTTAAGGAAGGTCAAAGCAGACCAAGGAATCCCAGGTTAATCTTCCTCACTGAGTAAATATATGCTAATGAGCCAAATGTTTTTCTCAAAGACATTTCTATCTACCTTTTCCTTCCACAATACAACAAATGTGTCTGTATAGCACGGCTTCTTCTTTCTCCTGTGATTCAAAACACTGCTAGAGGAGTACCACTTGAAGAATAAGACTGGGGCAAATACTGATTCATCATGTAGAAAAGCCATAGAATTACTTGACAACAACAACAATAATGATAATGCGTAGCTAAATTTAAAAATAAAATAAAAGATACTTAAAATATTATGACTAGCAAAATATAGTTCAAAAACCGTAAATAGACAACGCCATGAGGCACCTAAACAATACTAACCAGTTCATTACAGCAAAATTCTAATATAAAGATCTGTGTTTCATCAAAATTTCCAATACAATAAAATATTCTAGAAAAGCTTTGCTTGGCATTGTGTAGCACAACCATACCCATATAGTGGTAAGAGCCAACAGAGAAAGAACACACACCCAAACTAAAAATAGCAATCATTGTTCCAATGAGGAGTAAGGAAAGCCACACTATCCTGAATTTCAAGAAGCCAAATTCTACTCAGGCATTGCATCCCACTTAGATAACACATATCAAAAAGAAATACAGTGGTGCCCCGCATAGAGACGATAATCCGCTCCGGATAAATCGTCGCTATCCGGAAACGTCGCTATGCGGGGGGGGACCCCATAGGAACGCATTAAACCCTGTTTTCCCCCTATGGGGGAAAAACTCACCGCTATGCAAAGATTCCCCATATGGCCGCCATTTTCGCCACCTCGGTAAGCGAGGGCAGGGCGCGAAAACGCTGCGGGTGGCCATTTTCGTCATTCGGTGGCCATTTTGGAACTGCCAATCAGCTGTTGGGGAAACATCACAATGCGAAGAACGGTAAGCGAAACGCTTACCCATCATCGCAATGTGATGTTTTACCTATTAAAACATCGCAATGCGATCGTAAAAACGATCGCAAAATCCGCATCGCTATGCAGATTCATCGTTAAACGGTGCGCTCGTTAAGCGAGGCACCACTGTACAGGTAGCATCTGCTGAAGAACCCATCTGAAAGATGTAGTATTTTTACCCTTACAGACTGAGATACCAGTAAGCACAGCAGCAGCTTCTTAGCAGTTTCTTACCTGATATGTGTTGCAGGAAGGGACTCATATTGACGAGACAGAAACAGTTCCCTGTGTTTTAATTGATGTTTCTGTTTATCAGTCAAATCTACTTCTTTGGGAATTTCAGATTCTTCTTCAACCTCTTCTGCAAGAAGAGAAAAAAGAAAGGTGAGTGTAATATTCAGACTTCTCCGCTTCAGCTTCTTCCCATCTGCAACCCTTACACCTTGCAATAATGGAACTGCTTCTTTCTATTTTTCTAAAACAAGCTGACAGTAACACCGCAGAAAACAACCTTCCTTGGGCAAAACAAGTCAATTTACGGGAATACTTTGTTTTTCAAACACAAGCCAAAAAAGAAAAAGAAAAGGAAAGCCTCATATAAATCTCACCTCTAATGTTACTTGTAATAAAACAGAAAAATGTACTTTAATAAAATCAGGCTTTTGATATACCGGTTGTTATATTGGGTTGTATCAAATAATGTCTGTATACCAGCAAGGATGGGGCACTGCAAATAGAACAGGGTCCTCCTGCGTACACAGCAGTGTCCTCACAAATTTTCTACAAAGGGTTGGAGGTCACTCCAGAACAGACTGGGAATGGCATAGGAGGAGGAAGAGATGTGTGAACAAGCAACACAGAATGTGCTTCATTAACTTGTTTTAGTTAGAGATTTTGTGCCCTGACCAAGAGAGTAGATTGCAATCCACAACAGTTCACACTGAAATAAATGTATGAGTGTTAAAGGTGCCGCAATACCTTTTTTTCCCCTTTTTCCTTATGTTTGTTTGTTTTCATTTTGATTTTGCTGAAACTGAGTAACATAGCTAAAATATTATGTTACTTCTACTTTTCTATCAAGGTGTTCAAAAGCAACAGATATATAAAATGTAAAATAAACACAAAACACACGACAAAACAAAGTTTGGGATGGCAACATTGACCCTGACCAGGATATTTCTTATAAATCAGCCTAGGATTTTTTTTCCCTTACATTTTCTGAATCTGTATTTCAGCTACAGATGAAGAAACATTACATGTCTAGATTAAAAACTGGAAAACATTAAGCATTCCCCTCCCCCAAACTTCCTGATCCACTCAGCTACCACACCTTGAGCCTCAGCACTCCTTAGTTCTGCAATTTCTTAAATTGGGGCAGGCAAAAAAAAGCAGATTAGGACTACCTTCACTGGGAGAAAGGCAACATTAAAATACAATAAACAAAAAAAATTAAATACTGGTAAATCTCTCAGCAATCTGCAGTACATTATGAAGCCTTTTGATTCCCTATGGAGTAAAAATATCAACAAGGCACAGCTTTCTTTTCTTCTCTAAATTGGATTAATGAAAGCATGCAAGCTTGCAGGAAAGTAGGTGTTAATTAGTGTACAAAAACATTTTAATGCAAATCCTAGTTCTGATACTGAAGAGAAAGTGAGAAAAGAGATGGCTGAGTTTGTGCCCAAGCCATCCTATGTCCACCTCCTTGAGCTTGTAGACCTCTAGAGTTCTAGTAAAAAACACAGCAGTTCAACTAAGCCTGCAACGCTAGATCTAGTTATTCAGCCCAAATGGAGTAGATCCACTCAGTCAATGGAACTTACAAAAGTACTGTTTTTACAAATTTCAGTCATCTAACAGGTGTAACAACTGCATTCAGCCCAAAGTCTGTCCGCATCTGTCTTGGGGCTTGCACAAATGATGATACAGTGGACCCTTGATTTACAGACGGCTTGACTTACAGACTTTTTGAGTTACAGACTTCTCTGGCTGCAAAATTTAGGTTTGACTTGCAGACTCTGTCTGCATCTGTCTTGGGGCTTGCGCAAATGATGATATTTTAACATTTGGTTAGCATCAAGAATGGGTCTCAGATTTCTAGCTTTGTTTTCATAGGAAGACATGACTGAATAAAAAAGGGGGGAGAACTTGCAGAATTGTTGAGGGAAGGAAAGGTCTGTAAAAACAGCTATAATCTAGAGTTTCCAGACTTGTAGCTGTGTTAGTCTGTTTCAACAGCAAGAAAAACAAAAAAGTGTTGTTTCCGGGGTGCCACTTCAAATGAAAGAGATCAAATGCTTCTTAAAAAATGGGGAAAATTGCATATGGATAAGTAGCATGTTGGGGAAAGGGCTAGGATGGAACCACTGTGTTTGATTTTGTCTTTTAACATAGAGAAAACTTCATTTTTCTATTTTGTGGTAATGAAACAAATATATCTGCATGAACTCCCACCTGCAGTATGAAGTGGCAACACTCATAAAAGTACTTCCCATACTGTTTTAACTTCTAAGCAAGATGCCCTCAAATGCAAGTAGGGAGGGCTTGTCCAAATCAGACTAGAATCATTATCATTTAGGTCTACTAGAAGTGACGATGTAAATAATGGCTAAAAGAACTGACTAAATGGCAGGATAAAAGAAGCCAGGAAGAAACACAGTGTATATAATGGGCTGGCTCAAAGAAGAGTATCAGTGGCATCCCACTGCACAAACCAAAGCATCAGAGAAATGTACAATTCTTGTTCACCCTAAGAGATGGTTTTGGTTGTAAGTACCCTGTTTCTCCAAAAATAGGACCTAACCTGAAAATAAGCCCTAGTATGATTTTTCAGGATGCTTGTAATATAAGCCCTACCCCCCAAAAAAGCCCTAGTTAAGTGAAACCCCGCCCTCCACCATTGTGCAGCAACCAGAAGATGATATGACTGTATTTGAAATGCAACATCATTTGGGTGTTGTATTTTATTCATGTACAACAATCTAAATGTAGATTGTTGTACACGAAAAAAAAGTACAACATGCCCTGAAAATAAGCCCTACAGTGGACCCTCTACTTAAGGAATTAATCTGTATTGGAATGGTGGCGGCAAGTCAGAAACACAATACTACTATTCCTTATCTTCCGAACATCCAAACACACTGTGATTTTCTTTCTTCTTCTTCTTCTTCTTTTGGGTGGTTTTCTCATTTAAGGAGAATGCATGGTACACAGAGCAAATTATTCTATTTTCGGAGAAACACAATACTAGTATTCCTTATCTTCCAAACATCAAAACACACTGTGATTTTCTTTTCTTCTTCTTCTTCTTCTTCTTCTTCTTCTTCTTCTTCTTCTTCTTCTTCTTCTTCTTCTTCTTCTTCTTCTTTTTGGGTGGTTTTCTCATTTAAAGAGAATGCATGGTACACAGAGCAAATTATTAACATGCAAAAGGCCAAAGACTACATGTTTGCTGTTTGGCATCACATTATGTGGCATGTCCCCCTAAATCTCAGAAAGCAGAGCAATGAGGAAAATCTGTGCAATTGAAGATACTCGCCATCAAAATGGACAACATTAGGTTGACTAACAGCATCCCTCAACAGAAGACAACGTCCTACACACATTAGAAGTACCGTACAGGATCAAAATTTGTAACTGACAGATAAAATAGAACACTACACAAACTTCATTCACATCACAGGAGCTATACATGATGTATGAGAATACATGATCCATCAGCAAAAGTGATGTGGACATTTTTGATACTCTGGAAACACTTCTACAAGTATTCATGGAAGAGTTCATATTTTAATGCATTTTTTACTTATTTGGAATACTTATATACCCTTCAACCAATTCTGAGGGCAACCTATGTAGTCAGAGAACACAGCAGATTTCTATTCTAGGCAAATTCTATACCCATTATCAAGGATTCTCTTGTTTAAAAAATTGCATGCAATAATCTCTAAATCCAGAATCACCATGACGAAGTAACACTGCAGCACAGGAGAAATAAAAATTCTTTGATACCCCTGCAACTCATAAATGCTACCTTTTAAATCATTTTGTGTGAGTGGAAAACATCTTCCACATAACAAGGCTACTTATTAATCCAAAGTGGTATTAGAAAAACATAGTAATTTTTAGCCCTACATTAAATGCATATTATTCTTTACTTTCTAATATTTCTAGCTAACCATGCTAACAACTTATAAATGTTGCTGAATAAATTACTATAATTGCTATTACTATTTCCCTTGCTCACTTACTGGCTTTTCAAGTGAATCCAGAAACACTTTTCTGAGATCACAAGTTCCTTATTTTTTATTTTCAGATTTAATAAGACACATCAATTTTTTCTTAATTAGTCTTCTCACTCACTTAATTAATTCATCTATTAATCTCTAATGAAGGATGAAAGCCTCTCTGCACCCCCTTTTTGTACAAATAAAGTACCTTGAAGAAATACACCCACCACATCTGGGTGGCAGACTTCTCTCAGCTAGTAGTAAGGGCTTTAAGGAGAGTATACTGAAATGTCTTCCTGAAATTCATATTACATATTAAAATTCAGCAGCAGGTAATAAATATTTAATCATTGTAGGAATTAAAAAATCTGTGAGCTGTCAGCAAAGAACAGAAACATGATCCAAGAATAAAAGGATAGGAGACTATGGATAAACGTTATGTTCATCATGAACTACAATTAAAACAGTTTGGAGACTATGTGACAAGGGAATCCACCAGTATGGTTCACCAAAGCAAAAATTCTCAGCCCTGGGGGCAAAAGTAGCACACCTGGGATCCCAATGTGGCCTCCTGTGGTTTTCACATATTTGATGGATGTTTGGGTCATTTATACAGCTTGTCTCATTCCTAATCGCTAGTGCCAAAGGTAAAATACATTGGTATTTTGGGTCCCACCCATTTGTATTTGGCAACATCTATGTAACAAAAATAATTGAATACTAAGCATTTTTCTGGAGGTTAAAATGAACTCAATAGGAAAGAAAATTAAATATCAATGAGCAAAGTTATTAAATAACAGGAGATGGCAAGAATAAACATCGCTAGGAAAGAAAATTAAATATAAGTGAGCAAAGTTATTAAATAACTTCCGAATTAATGGCAACCCTGAGTTTTCAAGGAAAGGTTTGCCATGAGCATCACTCAGTGAGTTTCCATGTTTGAGTGGGGATTTGAAACAAGCTCTCCTGAGTCTTAGTATGACACTCTATACATTTTGTACCACTGGCTATCATGCAAAGTTATAGAAATGTTAGATTAAAACTTCTGGTTGAATCCAGATTTAAAAAGGTAAAGGTTTCCCGTGACAATTTTTGTCCAGTCGTGTTCGACTCTAAGGGGCGGTGCTCATCC